TTTCATTTTATTTTTTTTTTCGTGTTCTTCTGCCCATGTTGGTCCATCTATCAGCTCATACACAAGCATAAAGTTGTGAATTAAGTTTATTTGCAAAATTGATAATAATAATAAACCCAGCAAAACTGATAAATAGATCCCAAAGCAAATCTATGGTTATACGCTAAAAAATTCTGCTCCTTTGACACCATTATCAACCAAAGATTGCCAGTACAACAACAGTTGATGATCACTAGGCTAGTTAGCCGATCATTTAGCTAGCTCGTTAGTCGATTTGATTAAAACCTACTGACTAATTGGTTGCCTGACTGCATAGTTTAACTAGTAAAGATGAATTAGTTTCCAAAAGAAAATTTTGGAGGTTGAGGAAAGAGAACCGTATTTTTTAATTGAATATTTAGTATCAGTAAGTCGATCAGTCCAGTCCTTTCGTGAGTCATCAATCGTCAGAGTAGCAAATAAAAACGAGTAGCTTTTATCCGATACGGAAGAAAGACTGTGTGTGTTTGTAATTTTTTTTAAGTTTTACTGGTAAATGCGGAAGAAAATCTTGAAAAATTTTTTCACTATAAAACCTCATTTTTATCCACCCTCCCTTTCCTCACTTCTTCCCTTCCTCCCTCCTGATTTGCCCTTCAGTCTACCAAATGTGTACGTATTTGCGTGTCTATGTGGGTTTTCAAACAAACAAAAAAAAAAATCCCTCACTGAATCCAAACTAAGACAGCTGTTAAGGACAATATTTGATGGCTTAACAGAAAATAGGTAAACAGTTGAGAGAGATAAAGAAAAGATAAAAAAAAATCAAGAATAAAATGGAGGGAGAAGCAGCAACAGCAACACCAGCAGACTTCATCACTTATTATCCATCAACTAACAATTATTGCATTATATTTCTTCTTTAGCTAGCCAGAATTTTTTTTTGTTGCTGTCGTCTCATCCTATCACAACAACAACAACAATAAAAAGTCGCAGATGTTTAAGCAGTAGAAGAGAGAATGACAACGATCCTGCAAAGATAAACTAATCAAAAGCTTTCCTAAGGCTTAGCCTCATCTGAATTAGCTACGCTAATCCAGAAACGGATTCTTCTGAAACCACTTAGCTTTTCGGGCAGCCAGCAAACGTATCCGACACTGTAAGACTTTCAAAAGACTCATAAAAGTAGATTTATTGTTGTTTTTAATTTTTTTTTTTTTTGCCTTTTTTACCTTTTTTCCCTCATTACATTGGTTGAATTGTGTGCAACAGCGAAAATTGTTGGTACCTTGTTGAATAAACCATTTCAATGTCCTTTTCTGGAAGAAAGCCTTTTTGCCTTTCACTTTTGATCAACCAGATATAAAATTGTTTTGAAGTCGCATTGAAAAACTTAACACCTTTTCGCTTCTCTTTCGCTTCTTTAATGTTACGAGAATTTTTTTCACTCGACATGTACCCCGTGTTAACGTTGTTAGTTCTTTCATTGAAATAAAAAAAGAGAAAAGTGTATAGAAAAAAACACTGTTTTTTCTTTTTTCAGTTCCTTCATTTACACTTACATTTACACAACAACACAAAAATTCTAATATTAGAAAAATGTTCCTGATCATGTGTTCAATCAGAACCTATGACCCATTGATAAATCGACAGACAGCCAGCGAGTAGGTCCATCACCTTTCCTAGGTGAGAAAGACGCAAAAAATAAGAAGAAATTGACGGTCGCGGGAGAGACAAATACAACGATATACCCGTCTCACTGTAAATTTTAAAATACTGCTTGAATCCAATGAATTTCAAAGGCATCTGCTATCGTCTTCGTTACCCAGCTTCCAGCTGATTGAATCATCAGCTTTAATCGAGGCAGATAAACCAAAATAACGTAATGATTAATAAGAATAAACTAAATGAAGACAAGAAAAAAAACACAAAAATTAAATTAGTCTTTTCACCTAACCAAAAATTTAATTATCCTCAAAGTCAGCAGTTTCGAGTGTTTCTGTCAAACTACTAGCATAGTGTTTTCAATTATCACTACACAACCCTATGAAAAGCTCAATATATTCACCAAAATCGTCACGTGTCCCTGCCATGCCCTTTATTCAACACTTATTCTCATTTTTTTCTTTCTCCAATCTTTTGCTTTCAAGTGCTTTCAAATCCATCACATAAGCAAAAACAAATAAAAAAAGAAAAAAAAAAGAAGAAAATCTCTCACATTTGTCATGAAACACATTTACGCGCAAAAAAAACAACAACAAACAAAAATCGTCTTTTTTTTTTTTTTTTTTTTTTTT